TGAAGTGTCCGTGTTCATTGATTCCTATAATGAGACAATGTGAGACATATGGCAAGGTACTAGACATTCCTGTGCGGGACTATTCCAGGGAAAGGGAGAAGGGCACTTTTGTGTACTGTGAGAAAGCGAGACTTACGTCTCCATCTCGTGGCAAGGAGGACAACTTTACAATTCTCTAAAACTTCTAAGTCCATGTTGTATCAGAATGTTGTCGCTACGTTGTCGATGTCAAGAGTGTCAACATTCTCTCAATGTTGATAGCTAATGTTGCAATGACATTCGTAGAAGTGTCGCAGCAACATTCCAAGTGAAAACATTGAAGCAATGTTTTCTCAATGTTGTACAGCAACTTGCAACATAGAGCAACATAGGCAACATTTCGAAAACGTTTCATCAATATACTGTGTTACTTGGGTGATTACTGTGATATAATACTGTGATATAGAGACTCCACGAAACCTTCGGCAATGATCATGATTTGTATTCATCCTCGAAGATGCATTCGGGCGTCATGGTCTCTTGGGATAATATGACCTCGCAAACTTTTTTTTTGTTAATACCATGCTCAGAATTATCCTGGGTCAGCCCAACCAAACCGGTTGGGTTGTCACATTATTCAAATACATCTAGCAAATCAAGTGGAGGAAATATCAAGTACTGGTCCTAAAGTAGACAAAACACAGGGGATTTTATACTGCAGAAGAATCCATTGAATCGATGTTGATTTAATTATTCACTTCCACCGTGAATAGCGCAGCATTGAATCAATGCTTAGTCAATGTGGGTGCAAAAACGGTGAGGGTCGTCGCGTTGAGTCTATGTTGATTCGTCTATTTTGATTCAATATAGGGTCCACACCACGCCAGGTGGTCCTTTGATTTTAGCTGAAAATTTTCATAAATATGTGAATATTATTAATAATTTCGCTGCAGAAGTTCATCTCTTTTTCCAGAAAACATTAGCTCAGTTGTGAAGAGTAGATGTCAATTGTTCACTTTTCAATTATATCTTTAAAATAAATTTAAAATAAATGTACAGACTTCTCGCTTCAAAATGCATTTTCAGAACATGTCACATCCAACACTCTCACAAAAAGGCTTACTTTCTGATTCAAGAGTTGTAATTTTGGGGTGACTTACACTAATTCCAGGCTTTCATTGAATCTCAAGAATGAGAATGAAACCAAATTATTAGGGTCCACTCGATGACAGGTATGTGAACATTGGAGCAAGTGACTTTAACTTGAGGGTTCACGAAATGTCACGTCTGACACTTTTCTTTGCACACAGGTACACCTCTAACAAAGGAAAGAGAGCAGGACTTTGGATTATGGAATTTCCAGTCACTACCCAAAGTGAGCCCTGGACATCTAGTCCAGGTCTCACCACTGAATACTGCACCTTTTTCTGGCCATACTTGAGAGAACCCTTGTATGAAATATTCTTGTCCTCTCTCCAATCTCAGGAACTCCCACTTTCCTTGAGACGCGGGTGGTGATGAACTAGATATTAAAAACTGGCGCCCCATTACACTCCTGAATACAGATGATAAAATCTTCGCAAAAGTTCTAACCACTCGATTGAAACGTGCCTTGCCCACCATCATCCACTCTGACAAAACACACTGCATCCCTAATCGCAATATTCACAACAATCCACCTTATTCGTGACGTAATCTGGTATTCCAATAAGTACAAATGTCCTTTAGGTATTATTTCTGTGAATCAAGAAAAGGCCTTTGACCGTGTTTCGCATGATTATCTCTTTCACACCCTTCAGAAACTCTCCTTCCCTCAGTTGTTTTAATCAGCAATCAAAACCCTCTACAAAAGTAACCAATCCTTATTGAGAATAGGGAAGTATTTGTCAGCTCCTTTTCACTTCCAAAGAGGCATCAGACAAGGTGATCCTTTATCTGGCCTTCTCTTTTCGATCTCCTTAGAACCATTCTTCCATTTAATTCGTCGTCATCTAGCACACTGCATCCCACTCACCCATGGCTCCTTATCCTCAAATTAAAATTGTGATATCAGCAAACGCAGAAACAGCGTTTGCTGATATCACAATTTTAATTTCTTCTGAATCTGGTTTCAAATCATTCCGTGATTGTATTGAGATATATATGCTAAATCCTCAAATGCATCCTTAAATGTTCAAAAAACCTCAGGACTCTGGTGTGGATCTTGGCAAACTAGAGATGATTCCGCTTGTGGTTTCCAATGGAAGAAAACGGGTCTGAAATTTCTAGGTGTATATCTTGGAAACACAGAATTTGAAAAAAAAATTGAATTGGGAGGAAGCCAAGCACAAAATCAATTCTTTAATTGCAAAATGGACTCCTAGTTTCCCCAAGATGTCCTATCGTGGACGTGTTGTGATAATTAATCATCTGATAGCTCCAAAACTCTGGTATACCCTTGCATATATCGAACCTCCACCTGGATTCCTCTTAAAACTTGAAACTCTTTTTAGAAACTCTGTCTGGCTAGGGAAACATTGGCTTCATCCGGTCTATCTTCACCGCAAGCTTCTCCTTGGCGAACAAAATCTTGTCTCCCTTGAAACTAGGAGACTTTCCTTTCGCCATTCTTTACTAAAATGAGTTCTTACCATGACCAGAAGTTCCACCATGACCAGTTCTTACCAGAAGTCTACTGCTAATTTTACCACCCATCGCACATGAATCAGCTCCTACATACATTATAGAAACAGCAAAACTTTGATTTTCTTTAAACTTCAGTTGCAAGTCTGAGGTTTCTTCTCCCGACCTCTTCCCGTTAATTCCACTGAAACCCAATATTTTTCTCTATGCCTTTTCCATTTCACCGTCTGCTGCTTGGGAAGTAACCAATTTTACTACACTACAAGATATACACATATGGTACCTCATGGATGAACCCAGGCACTATATTCAATTACAGGAAGAATAAACCCCAGGATACACAGACAGATCTCCATGGACCTACACACTATTAGGAAAAAACGTCCTCCTGATAAAACAACACAAAGCACTCATTTCAGCTCCATTTTCTTAATACAACTCCCAGAAAGAAAAGACCTTGTCCATTTTGACCTTTAACTCGGGAAAGGATTTATGACATTTTATTTCATTTCATCTTGCAGAAAAGCCCAGTCAATCACCCAACACACCATGTCCAATGCTTTCTCCCAGGCACAGAAAAATTTGTCCCCATCTGGAAATCCTTTTACCGGCTCCCCTCAGAAAAAAAGATGGTGACATCAACTGGAGACTTCTACACAATTCTCTAGTGTCCCAGTTTTGAAATCTAAAATGAACATCAACTCTTCTTCATTATGTCCTTCATGTGGCAGTATGGGGACTTTAATCCATATGTTTATTGAATGTCCCTCATTACATTGAAAAATTTTTGAAAATGCTAACATAACCCTGAATGTTAAACTGTTTCTCTTCCACATTTTCCCAGAACGTGCTTCCCTTACAAAATCTGTAATCTCCATCATTGATTTCATCTTGACGCTTGCCAAGAGCAAAATCTATAAATCATACCTTTCAGAAAGAGAGAATAGTGAGAAGCCAATCACTCTTTTTAGAGAAGCATTAGGAAAAAAAAGTACAACAAGCCTACTATAGATACCTCCTTTGCATCCTAGAAAAACGTCCATCATTCTTCACCGACTTCTTGGGTCCAATTGTGCAACTGCATGAAGACGGGGACACGGAAATGAAATTTTAAAAATTATTATTATTATTAAAGTCCATTTGAAATCCAAAGCAAATTGTTGTAGCCTTTATATGATGATTCGTCATGCATAATATAATACATTTTGAATACTGACCATATTACTTCGGATGTCACGTCCGACAGACCAATAGAAATATAAACCCTCAACAGTGATGCATTCAATCCACTGCAAATAAACGTTGTATCAATGCTATGTGCTAATTGGGCAATGCCCATATCACAGAACAAAGAACCCTTCTGGATAAACCCAAGACATACGATTTGTAAATTTTGCTCTTGGCAAGGATCAAGATAAAATCAATGAAAGAGTATTCAGATTTTAATATTCAGGGTTATATCTGCATGGATCATATAAAAATTATTTTTTCAATGTATGCACTCTACCTTTAAAGAGGGACATTCAATAAACATATATTGATTAGAGTCCCAAGACAGCCACATGAAGGACACGATGGAGAAGAGTTGCTGTTTATTTTTTACTTCAAAACGGGGGAAAGTAGAGAATTGTTAAGTCTCCAGTTTGCATTTGTGCCAAAAAATACTTCCTGATGATAACATTTGATGAATTACATATAGATCGGTTTCTCACCGGGCCCTTTGCTGTTCAGTGGTGCAAATTTTTTTTATTTCATTTTTTTTATCCTGAACGTGTCGGAGACTCTTCAAAGTGTGTCTCGTTTTCATTGTGTGCGCTATGGCATTCTTGTTATGGTGTGTTTGTTGATCTATTTGCTATGACATATTAAAGTCCTTTTGAAATCCCAGTATATCGTCTCCATTTTTTTTCTGAGGGGAGCCAGCACAGTGCATACACCCCAATACAATTCAATACTTCTAATTCAAAATATTAACCACAATTTTTCACAACTCTTCATCATCCATTGCTGAAGGAGGAAAAAAAAAAACAGACATTCTTCACATTTTCAAGCCCCATGATTCCAATTGGCATCCCTTTCTTTATTAATCTTTTCTGGACGATCAAGCTCAGAGATTTCAACTGGAGCCTTGAACGTATTTTTCGCAAGGTTGCCACTAATTCAATTTTCTCCGGATGCTATTGTATTTGAAATTTAAAACTATCTTCTCAGTATGCGAAACCAAATTTGACTGGAAAGGGTTAAGCATGTAATAAACCACCTATACTAAGTAGAGCAGTCAGTCAAGGACTGGAGGGTATTTTTGAAGCCACAATGGAACATGGAATGAATTTGTAACTTCTGAATAACTTCGAAAGAATCTTCGGAAAGAATCTGATATTACAATAAATATGATGGTTTTATGGGAAATAGCAGAGAAAGACGAGCCTGGTGTTGCAGTCACGGAACTCCCACGCGTACCCCTGATTCTTGATGAGGGCAACGCAGTTTCTATTGATGTCATTCATGTCGGGCAATGCAAAGAAGGTTTCCGTGAGTGCCGTCCCAGTGTTCTCTCCTACCACATTTCCCTCCAACTGGATGTCGTTCACACCGATCCATGCATCCGTATATAGGGTTTGCGCCTCCAACTGCTGCAGAGTATTCGTCTGTGTGGGGGAAGGGTCAATGATGTCAAAATGAGACGAATGGAAATCTACTCTAAAATACGAGGGTATTTAGTAAAGGGAATTTTCCTTTTAATACCACCCCTTTGACTCCTGTTCAAGCCTAGCTTGTTTCATCGTATTTTCTTGTGTATTACACACGTTAATTTCACTTTTTATTTAGGCCGTATGTGGCGCTAGTTGAAGGCAGCCAAAACATGGTTGCACCCTTTGAGACCTGCACCATTACAAGATATGATACGACTTCTGTCATCTGAAGGCGTTGTGAAATTAATCAAGGAACGTCTATCCCAGGGGTCGGGAACATTTTTGGCCATGTGAGGCATATTAAGATTTAGTTAAGTGCTTGCGAATAAAATATTTTCAGAACAACATAATTTTTCCTGAAGTTGGCAACAGACATGCATTCTTTGATGCATGAGAGAAATGAGGAGCAACCATGATTTTCAGCCATGACTCAATGAGCCAAACTTTTCAGCTCGTAAGCCTAATGTGGCTCATGAGCCATAGGTTCCCGACCCCTGGTCTAGGCAGTATGAAAGAAGTTGCGCCTCATACACCCTCATAAACCCTCATACACATTTATGGATAACATAAATGTGTATGAGGGTTTGATCCCCTCCAACCCGACCTACACGTGGTTCGTCAATCATACATATGCTTTTCTGAATCCCCAGTGGCGTCAAACATACGGACGTCAACTGCGGGCCGGATCCGACCCACCGTCTGTTCTAGAAATTTCCGCTTGGATTGACTGTCAGCTCACATTTCGGTGAATAAAGTATGGGTGCGGCCCGCAGGGAATCTGCAGGGTAATGAATGCGGCCCGCCAACCGATTTGAGTTTGACACCCCTGCTTTACACTACTCGTACCTCTAAAGCCGAAGGCCGTTTCACCATTCCACTGCAAGCGCCTAGCATTTACAAAGAGAAGGCAGAAATCCTAGCGTGAGCCCCAGGGTTAATTTCAGCAGGGCTAAAGTATTGAGCCTTAGCTTGTGAGATTTTGAAGAATGAAACTACATGAGTGACAAGTAAAGGAATCACTGAGAAAGAGTACTTAAGCTATTTCTTCTAGCAAACCAGTCTTTCAGTACATCTCCCACACACAAGGTTATTTTGAAAAAACTGAAAATTTTATAGTATAAGGGTTTACGTAGAGCCGCGCTACTAAGCGATGAGATTTCGATGTTTATTGTGGATTTAATCTATTCAATATTTTTTCACATACATGGCTTCCAATACCTTTGAATGCCTTCTCACATTTGACCCCAAACTTTTTAAACGGGAATTTCTTTGATCGTAATGAGCAGGAAGCTGAAATGTAATAGTGTGTAAACGAGAAAACGTGAGGGTGAGGGTCATTGCAGCACCTGCTCTCTGAAACGAGAGTTACAGGACGTCATAAGTACTCGTATAAATATTCAGCGTTTTCTCACAACTGGACCTCACTTTGGAAGGAAATCAGGATGAAAGACAGCCAAAAACTCCCTCATATGAAATCAGGGAGATTTTGCGAACGGTTTCGTGAGAAAATTGGGAAGGGAAACTCACGGCTGAGGTTTGTTGATTGGAAGAGCGCACTTCGAAGAGTTGTGCTCCTACGGTGGCACAAGCGGCTTTCGCTTCTTGGTATGTTCGTGGCAAAGAATCTGCCATCGTTACCCCCGAGGATTGGACTATCAAATAAGATACATTCTGTAAATTCTTGACCGCTTCGATATTGCGCGTTATATATGAAGTGATAATTCCTCCAATTTATAATTTACTAGATACTACTAGATCATCTAGATCAGCATACTAGATCTTCTAGTATATATTCGCTTTTTTTTACACGATACTACATGATGCGCATGTACACAACGTTGAGCCAGCATTAGCTGCAAGTATCCCCAGTAGCACTCCAATACAGTGTTTCTCAGTGAGTTTCGCACGTCTTGCAGAATGATACGCAGTTGCCGCAAATTACTCCGCACATACCTCAAAAGGAATCGCACGCGTTGTTTCGTACCTCCTGCTCTCCTCCATTCCTCCAGTGCTGCTCAGAATGGCAAGACCACCTGGCAACCCTGGTGGGAACGTTGAACAACGGCTCCACACAAACCCTTCCAGGAAGTTATTCGTCAGTTTCGCGCTTGGTCGTCATGGCGCCCAGGCGGAAGAGGAGCATTTCTGATACATATAATACCTTTATTTAGTATTCATCAATAATAATTCATAAGTGTGGAACTTCTCTTCAATAGGTCTTCTCAGCAATACGTCTTTCCATGTAGTGCGTCAGTGTAATCCGTGAATTTGGGCGCTCGGCATCCATCCATTCTAAAGACTATCGACAAACCTCTCTCCAAGTGTTGTCAGATGGACGTGTCATTCGGAGAAGAATTCAGAGAAAACATTAATGTCCATAATGGCCCAACAAAGGGCCCAGTAATAATCCCAATTAGTCAATAGTCCCAGATGTATATTTCTTGTATTCCTTGGCAGCCGATATTGATCCAATATTGGAGTGCTCCTGGGGAAGTACTTCAGAGAGCACCCATAGCTCTTTTGGACCCATATTCTCTTCAGAGAGAGAATATGGGTCCAGCCCGAGTGAGAGAAACTAGGTCTGGCCTACAATGTTGGGCCCATCGCAAATGTAGGATTCCAAAATGGGCCCAACTTCGGCCCAACGTGGCTGAGCTACCGGGGAAGGATGTATGCTTTTTCCCCAAAACAGGAGACCTGCATACCCGGGAGACTAATTGGTCCAATAGCTCCACATATGACGCTTGCCGTACTGCTACATGATACTCCACTCCAGAGTCCCAACGAATCCATCGTGATGCAGGTACCGACAGGCTCACCCTCTATAACACGAAAACGGAAATAGGAAAACCCCTCGATAATTCCCGCACAGCTCGGGATTGAGCAACATGCAAGATACAACAGGTACTCACCAGCCCAAAGTTGGAAATCCAGACTGAGGATAGTACCATCCAAGTGTTTGTACGAACCGCTGACCGAATCCCACTCCAGGCCCAGCCAAATAGAGCTCATACCATAGGAACTCATGATGTTCTATTGGGAGAATTCCAATTTATGTTTTGTACGCTTCATGCTTTGGAATAGGTTCCGCATCTCAGCAACTTCACTATTCAGCTCCAAAAATGTTTTCCAAGAATTGCGAGGTTAGGCGGGAAGCAACAACTTCGTTCTACTTCGTATCCTCATTCAAAATTGAAAAAAAATGAATCCAATCAAGGAGTATAATTGAAAGGGAAAATGTGAGACACCATGAGTAAAACGATGGTAAATGTACGCAAATAATGACATTATCCAGTCAAAACGGATTGCTGAAACAGTCAAACGTCTCTGTTCTGGAGGTGCTGAAATGGTCATAAACAAAGCCATAAATATTGGTTCTGTTTATGCTCTCTGGATTGTTAATTCATTTGTTAATCGTTTTTTGTCTTATTACTTCTTTTGTTACAGTCATTTTATGGATATTAAGACACTGAGTATGGAAATAAGAACCAACGCCTTTTAACTAATATGTTTACGGTCCCCACAAGAACTTTTCGCAAAATTACACTTTGCATAGCCATATTTCCAATATATCTGCAGAATTTCTTCCGAACGCATTGATCCGAGGAAAAGCCAAGGAGCAATGGTTAAAAGGCAGTTGGATGGTGAAAATGGACAAGATGTTGTGGTGGTAGTGACATGTCGGAGAGCTCAGCTTGCTTGCATTTCACCCAGGCCAAATCAAACTTGAAATTCATCTTTTACGTCCTCTTTCAATTGGAGATAGATGAATCAGTAAAGAAAGAGAGATTGTTGATTGTTAACTCAGACTTTCACTTTGTCTTCACCGGAAAGAAGAGGCATCAGGATGAGGCATGCAGAAGCGATTGGAGTCCCATTTCTATTTTTGAATTTAAGTTTATTTTACAAGTCTTGCTTTGATAATGGCCTTACTTTGGTAATATAAAAGTTAAAATTCAAAAGCTTCTTAGGAACATATAATTGCACTTTGCACCATGCAACACACCATTGCACCTTGCAAGTTTTGTAGTAGTCCCTTCAGATAGAGCCGAGATATAACGTTTACGAGGTAATGTCGTTGATTTTTTGCGATACCCTGAATAAGAAGTTTCACGTACCAGGACGGAGTCTCGATAAGAATAATGGTCAACTTGAGCCAGTTTCCAATATGGTCCCACGCCTGTACAGAGATTTTTTGCAGCGGTCTGGTCCATTAATGACTGGGTGTAGGCGTAGCAGCGCTGATTCGCCCCGCAAGGATTAGGAGCCTGCGTTGTTGTTGCAATAGTTGTGGTCGTCGGCGTGGTCGTGGTCGTCGGTGTGGTTGTAGTTGTTGCAATAGTTGTGGTCGTCGGTGTGGTCGTGGTCGTCGGTGTGGTTGTAGTTGTTGCAATAGTTGTGGTCGTCGGTGTGGTTGTAGTTGTGGATGTGCTCTCCGTTGTCGGTATGGTCGTGGTCGTGGATGTGCTCTCCGTTGTCGGTATGGTCGTGGTCGTGGATGTGCTCTCCGTTGTCGGTATGGTTGTAGTTGTGGATGTGCTCTCCATTGTCGGTATGGTCGTGGTCGTGGATGTGCTCTCCGTTGCCGGTATGGTCGTGGTCGTGGATGTGCTCTCCGTTGTCGGTATGGTCGTGGTCGTGGATGTGCTCCCCGTTGTCGGTATGGTCGTGGTCGTTGATGTGCTCCCCGTTGTCGGTATGGTCGTGGTCGTGGATGTGCTCTCCGTTGTCGGTATGGTCGTCGTCATTCCTGGGAAATATCAACAAGAGATCCTAATTGTGCTACTACTTAATCCAGTTCCATATTGGGGCGACAAATAAGACGCGTTCTAATGACATAAGTGTTAGTGGTGGTACGCGTACCGCCGGATGAAAGTCGTTGATCTACCACCCACTTCCAAAATGAATCGTTTGAATTCGCACAGTGAAGGTTGGTACGCAAAGATTCCTCGCTCTTGAAGAGGCCTCTCAGGTGAATAAAGAAGGTTACTATGAGGTGTCTGACTCGACACACATCCCTCAGCATGTCAAGATGCAGCTCCAATCGAGGTAGGTCGACGTCACCCTCAAAGGGAGTATCATCCTGCAGAGATAGCTTGAAGTTTCATCGTTCATCAGTGTTCATCAATGTTCCTCTCCAAGCGTTCAACGTAACGAAAATATTTGCTATCGAATCGCTCGGTTAGGGAATCATACAACGAATCCAAAACTGCGAAGTAAATGAAGCGGAAATATTCCTCCGGGTTCCGAAAAGAATGGCTCGGTACTCCGGCGTCCAATTTCCGAGGTGGCCGTCGGAGTCGAGGGACAGCAGGCTGAGATGTTCTCAGATTGTGGACTTGTTCTTCCAATTGAGTCCACATATTTGAAAAGACTTCTTCGGCACGAGCAGAATTTAAGACAGCCTTCAATGCATTGACCTTCTCTTGAACGGAATATAGGCTTAAGCCTTCAGCTTGAATACTCCTTTTAACTTCCTCAGCAGGCCCAATGTTTTTTTTCATGACGTTCAAATAAAAAAAAATTTTGAAAGACAGCAAATGATTCCGAAACCCAGAACACTTCACACCGAATTCGTCATGCTGAGTGTCAGCAGCATCTTAAAAAAGCTGTTCCTCAAAGTTTTCTTGGAAAGACCGGATGCTCTGGAACGCATGGTCCATCTCATGGGACATATTGGTCGGAGAGAGGAAGCCAAGGAATCCTGAAGGGATCGAAATATTGACAGTCGCTGTGGATATTTACGAATTGCGTTGATCGCATCCTTATCAATGTCAAACGAATCTCGGAGATATCACTCGTAAGAACATCTTGCACTTAGGCTCAAAGAATGAGCCGCGCAATGAATGTACAAGGCTTTGCTCTGTTCGGCCTTAACTCTTGCTTGTAATCCTTTAAGGCGTCCAGGCATGTTTGCAGTGAAAAGAATCCGTCTATTTTGTGCGGAAAACAGAATTTTAGTCATCCAAACTGGGTTTGGATTTCTGTGCGCTTGGATTGCTGAAGCGTGCCCTCGGGAATTGGCGCAACAAAACTTTGGTGTGAACTTTGGAAAGTTATCAGAGAAGAATTGGATATCTCTGTGCTTCGTAAAACTCTGGCAGAGTAAAAATTATGGTGCAGGTATTTTTCAGAATCAATGACATGAGATGGAGCATGATGATTTCTACAGTAAAAGAAGTAGTAACAAAAATTCAGAATAAAAAATGGTCAAATAAAGCAGGGGTAGCCTGTACTTGAATTATAAAGGATTTGTGTCTAACATTTTCATTAAAATGTAGGTTCTTTTCAATACATACAAGTGTGGCTCAATCGCTTGTTTGCTAGAATTACTTTACCTGTACATGTAGGAGAACAGCGACCTTCTTGAATGCAAGCTGGAGTTTGCAAAGCTCCGCCATTCACCTAGACGAGAACAGAAGCGCATTAAGCAAAACAACAGAGACAAAGGTAGACCATCCGAAATCCAACTTGAATACGCATTCCTTATCGATCTCGACCTCGAGTTGCATGTCCGGGTAGACGTCGTAATATCTCATCCCCTGCAGGGATGAGAGGAAGTAGGTTGCTGAGTCGCATAGAGCCACATTCAGGAGGTTGCAACTTCCCATCCCGACGTTCATCGAACGGCAGCTGGGGAGGATGATGTTTTAGCGTCAGGAGGCTTAACGGATAGAGTATTTAAGTGAAAGATGTCAGGATATATAAAGAGCATCGATGATTTCTATTCGCAATAAATTTGTTTGGAAAAAAGAGCAAAAAAACTATGCTGCATAGTTTGGAAGACAGCGGAAATTAAAGGGAGAAAAAATAGTAAAGCATTCCATTTCGAAGGCATCAAACATTTCATTTCAACACCTGGTTTCCAATTTGTCCCATTAAATACCTGTACAGGGTGACCAAAATTCCCTTATTATTTTTGGGAAGGAGTGATGGCAGGAAGATAAAACGACTTACACGGGTTTGTTTACAAAACATGCCACCCGTTAATCTCCTGACTCCGCATTAAGAGGGTGGGGATAGGGAATAATACGGCAGCCCCTCAGCTCATCGCGCTTTATCTGTTCCTTGACCTTGAGGCTGTTCCTTGACCGTAACAACGTGCTCACCACAGAGGAGCAAATCGAGATCGTAACGGTTCGTCTTAGCAGTCGGAGTTGCACGGAAGTCCGTGCGGTGTTTGAACATCGGTTCCCCAAAGCAGAGCCATGTTAGGGCTGTTTTGTTAACAGTTTTTCCCAATTGCTAACGTCTGTTTCTCAAAACTATACTTCCATTTGCAAAACTATTTGAACAAATCCCAAAACTCTGCGAACTTTTCACAAAATTTAACATCCAATTGCATTGTTAACGTACGGATAGCGAAACGTTTTTCAAATCTTTACGTTCCTTTTTCGAAACTTAACGTACGGAAAACGATAAGTAGATCGATCCCACGAACGCCGACAACGTTTGCATGGCTTCCGACAACAATCCATATCCTCCAAAAAAATCCCTTCTAACCAATCACAAGGATTCAGTCATCGTCCAGAGTTGTCAGAGTTGAATTTTTCCTTTCAAATGTTGAAAGTTTTCTTACGCCGATGCAGCGACGTATAGATAGTTGACAGGCGATATTGCGGACTGTCATTCAGTAATATCCAAAATACTTGATCCTGAGTATTTACTAACGATTCGTTTACGTTAAAATATACCCAGCTAAAAAGGGTTGAAAAGACAGTTTTAGCCTCATGTTTAGCCTCAATGGCTGCTCCTCTCGCCCATGCTCGTCGTGCATGGGTTGATGCTTATTGCCTCAAGGTGGTGAAATCTATCGGTCATTTTATGGTCAATTTTGTTTGGTTGCAAAAGTTCCATGACCTTTGGACTCAATTTTTTCGCAGATATGAGTGTTAATTGCGAAAATCTCATGTATTGATCACCAAATC